AGATCAAAGCCTTTAAATCTGTATTCCAGTCTGGGGAATAACTTGTACTAACTGTGTAATGGTGTTCCTGTGAGTAATCTTCCTCTCTTTGTTCTTGTGCAGATTTGTGAATGAACTGACAGGAAACCTGGTGGGCCATCTCTACTTCTTCCTCATGTTCAAATACCCCATGGACCTGGGAGGACGCGCCTTCCTCTCCACGCCAGAGTTCTTGTACGTTTGTGTGCACGCGCAGCATTTCAGAAGCGCCGTTTTAGTGTTTAAGTGTTATCACTGCATTTACTGAAGTGCACTCAGCTTTAAAACAACACTATGGAGCTTTTTATTAACACATCGCCTGTCACAATCCAGAGTTTAAACTCTCATTTATCTCGGTACACTTGGAGAATCTGCTGCTTTAGCCTTACTTTGTGAGAAGACTTAGTTGTTGTGGCTCTTACAGCAAATGTGCATTCCTGCCTAATGAGTCAGTTTTACAGTTTACTTCTTTGCAACTCTAAGACTGTTTTATCAGTTAATGTCATGTTGTAATTGTCACTGGTGGCCACACTGATAACTAACAGGCAAAGTTATATAGTCTTTTCAAACCAGCAGCACAAGGGGTAACCACAACTGTAATGACATGGGGTTTGAAAGTGTTTGTTGCTCGTCCTTGCAAGGTGCAATCATGAAGTCATCTGTGGTTTTGGCTCTTTAGAAGAGCTGCACTGCTTCTAGCAAGGCTCCCATATTTAGATCACTCTCTGAAGGTCCTAATCGGACCATGTGCAAGTGAGCATGACTCAGAGACGCTGAAGGAGATTCAGTCATGCACACATGGAAATGGCCAGACTGTCACAGAATGATTCAAATGCAGCAGTGGTGTTGGAAACATTGCTGCACTGCCTGAGGAGATGACCACGAAGGGGAGAGTGGTCCTGTTTAAATTGGGTACTGTTTATTTTTAATGATAGGGTTGTATTTCCACAATTATGAAACCCTCTGTTGCTCAGTTAAAATTTCAAACACAAACTGATATCTAAAGTGTCTTTTCAAAGGGTTGATTTTACCTCTGATTTCCCGTCCAATCACTTATTTGAGTCAAATGTTTGAAAATTAATTTCCCGGTGGAGGGGCTGAGGGTCTGTCACAGAATCATGTAACAACAAAGTCAAGGCAGACAACAAATTATCAAAAAACCGATAACACAGATATGTTTGTGTGGTGTAGCTATGGGTGCTTTTGTCACATTTAAAATTTATAATGCTAATTCTTCTCACCAAAACCAAACAGATTTTGTTGCTTGATTGAGTTCAGAGATCACATTTTAACATCTCTCTGCAGGTACCGGTTCTTTCCTAACAGGAGGGGAGGGGTGTCCGGATTTGGAGTCCCTCCGACCAGGAGGCAAGCTCCCCAGGACAATGCAGGGGGACTCGGAGGACGTCACAACTGGGGGCAAGGTTTCCGACTTGGGGGCGAATGAGAGAGAACTGCACTCTCTCAGCTGCCAGAAGAGCTGGGCAGCTGTTCTCAGATTTAAACGCTTTCTTCATTGAATTTGTTCTTGTTGAATCTTGAGACTTTAAATTTAATTCATGGTTAACTTTAGAAGATACAACAGGATCAAATTTGAGAAGGCACGCATTTCACTGCCCTGCACAGCAGGACCCGGACTCTGGCTGTAGGCTCTGTTCACTAAGTAAAGTCAGCTCTACTTTTACTACTGGAAATGTGTCCATGTTAGGAAGATAGAAAATTAAATTGTTCTCTTTTTTTTGTTTTGGTGATTATTCTTGACTGCCGCGTCTATTTTCTTCTTTCTTTCTCATCTTCTTCTTACCATCCCTCTTCCGCCTTTCTAACCCACCCTGCCATTGGACTGTCAAGATGAGAGATGTTGCAGCTGCACACCAGCACGCTGTGGATTTCAACTCTTGTGTTCCTCCCCCTCCTCCTCTCACTCTCTGTGATGCCATATCAGATTACATTGTAATTACCAATGCACTGGGAGCGTGCTCCCAGCAGTCCCCTCAGCAGAACATGGGCAAAGCTATTTAGAGAGCACTGTCTCCAGGTCTGATTCTACATTGGTGTGAAATGTTTGTGAGCCTCTGTGGCACAGACCTGGATCTTTTACTGATTTCATCTGAAAAAAAAATGAGGTAAAGATAGGATCCTGCTCTTTTTTTGTAAATATAACAATTGTTTATTGAAAGGTTGAGTGAGTCAGTGTGTCATTGTCTTACTTATACAGGAGACAACCATTCAGCCAATCAGGTGCCAACAAGACATATTGGAAATCACCTTAATATAATAAAACACACATTTTAGCACTCATTGTCAATATTTATCCATCTGGATATTAACTTGGAAATCATTTGCTCCCTAAATATCAGGAAATAGTCGGGGGAAGCAAAGTAACGTTTACAACAGCCACACGTAGTAAAGTCAAAACTCTTTGTGCAAAAGTCTTGAATTCCTGATTTCTTTATATTTTGCTAGGAAAGTGGGTGCAGTGATTTATTACAATGTGCAAACATACATGGACACGCTGTATTTAAGGCCAAAAAAAAGAGAGTAGTTGTACAGAATAGACTTCAGGGATGGTTCTCCAGACTTCTTGAAAGGATGTTGAGGTGCGGGCTCTGGCTCTGATGGTGTTCCATTGTGTGGTTTTTTATCCAGGTATGATTTTACTGCATTTGTAAGTGTTTTTGTGATCATTATGCTGAAAATGGAGTGATTGCCAATCAGATGCTTTCCGTATTCTGTTACATGAGGATCAACGTACGTTTCTGTGTCCATTAATTCTGACAATATCTCCAAAACCACTGGCTGATGTGCAGCTGCACCCCGTGACAGAGCCTCCACCGTCCTTTACAGATGGCTGTACACACTCACTGTTTTACCTCTCTCCATCATGGCAATGAACAGTTTGAACCAGCAATTCATTTCAAATTTGGATTCATCTCTCCATAGGAACTGTTGCCAGATTTTCAGTTCATTTTTTGCGTAATTCTGCATGTCTCTACCTCGTTTGTTTCCCTTCCCTATAAATGGCTTTTTGACAGCCATCCTTCCACGGAGAACATTTCTGATGAGGTTTTAGTGAACAGTAGATGGATCAACTGAAGCATGGTGCATACATGGTGCTAGGACCAGCACCAAAACCTCATCCCAACTCTGTAGCATGGTGGAGAGAGTACATTTTGTGGCTGCTGGCCTGGAACATTTGCGATCGCCAAGTGAAACAATTCAAAATTTTGCCAGGAAATGTTACAGAAGACTATCAGAGCAGCAGTCACTCAACTGAAGGTACAACAGAATGGTTAAACAGGGGGAAAAACCTGATCTTGATTTAAATTCTGTGGTATGACTTGATGAGGGTTCTTCAGTCAAAACACTCCAGAAATATTGAAGTGAAACAGGTGTGGGTGGGGTGGGGTTCTTCTAAATTCCTTCGCATCTTTGTACACAAGCTACAGCTACAGACATCCTTTTCCCCCAGCCCACACAGTGATAGCCCAGTTCATTTCAATGCAAACTCCCTACAGTCAGGCTGTGTTTGCAATTGTGACTTAGATGAAGATTAGACCACATTTTATGAGCACTGAATGCAGAAATTCTGTTAATGCCAAACCTTCACAAAAGGCTTTAAATTTGGTGTTTGTCACTTACACCGGAAGACCAAGTGAAGGCTTTACAGTTGGTTGTGTTTTTATTGAGTTACAGCAGACTGTAAGTAGAAAATGAAAATACAAGCTGTATTTCATACTAGCAAAAAAGAAAAAAACAAAACAAAATTACAGTATCCCAGATACATAACTGAAAGTGAAACTAAAGCAGTAGCAGCAGCAACAGACATTCAGCCAGCGCACAGCCATACACCTGCTGTTAAACCGAGGGTTAACTGAACTTTCTTTGACTGCACAAATATTTAATATTTATTATTAAATATTTATTTCTTTTAATCATTCTTGAAAATGAGTACGAAAAAAAAAAAGTTGAAGTACATGCAAGTATTTCATGACAGCTTTGGGTGCTGTGACATTCCAAATGTCTGTCTGTACAGAAATCAGCTGAACCCGATCTGGCTTTGATCAGAAGAACCTACGTAATCACCAGCGGTGTGCTCACAGATCGCAGCTGAGCAAAGTGGATACCTGACACGGCTCAAGTAAAGGAGCTTTGATTATTGTGTGCCATGCATTAAAAGGTTTTTCAAAAATATGCTTTTGGCGTTTTCAGGCAAGTTTTTAAAAACACTGGACCGCTAAGCTGAAATCCTCAGCCCGGCTGTGCTCTGCCCACTTCTGAGGCCGACGGGAAACGTCTGATAAGAGAGCTGAAAAGGCAGCACGGTGCGATCGAACAGACACTCCGCCCTCCGCTCGGTGGAGTTAATCAGGAACGTGAACATTCTGTTTCAGTGTCTTGGACATGCCTCGGGTTCTGACGCAGGAGCGAGCCGATGAGGAAAGATAACAGAGTTTAGGATGTACGGAGCGTTCATGCATCCACCCTAATGCGGTTAGTCTTGGTCTGTGGCTGTTTGTGTTCATTCTCTGGTCTCCCAGCGGTGAAGCTGTAGCTGTGTTCAGTTTGCCCAAAAGAAAAAACAAAAAGATACCATCACTCCTTCTACTTCCTTTGCTCTGACACTTCTGAGTGATTTCCATCTTCTCTACTGTAATTCTACAGAGGGTGAGTTAAGGTGCAGAAGACAAGCAAAAAGTTACAAAAAAGTTCCTAACAGTTTTCATTCAGGCGGTCATGACAATATCTATCACTACCACAGGGAAATATGCAAGTGCCATCAAAGTCTACTCATAATGAGTAGTGATTTTCAAAAAATACGTCTGATCTTCAGCAAATGACAGACTATATCATACAGTTTGATCTCAAAGAACAAAACCAAACTGAACATTCCAGGTTTTTGGGACAACAGTCAGCCTTTTTCTTTAAAAAAAAAAAAAAAAAGTTTTCTCAGGAAAACTGTACAAACTCTAGTAATACAGAAAATATTTACAGGGCTCTTTTTTTTCTTAAAAAACAAAAAACAAAGAGAGCGAGCACTGTAGTAAGAGCAATGCATCAAGTCCAGCTTTGGCACTCCTCTAAATGTCAGGGTCTACGCTTCCATCAAGTGCTTTAATGGTGCAACTCCACAGTCCCCCAGGATGTTGGGATGACATCACAGGCAGACAATGACATCACTGCTTCCATGTTTGGTCATCTCAGGTCGTCGGTGACTCAGCAGTCAGTGATGTACTGTACAGAACCAGAGACAAAGCCTGAATCAATACTTGTGTTACAGTTCTTCCTTTCGTGTTCAAATTAAATGTGTTTCATCTGCTTCCCCAGATTAGAATTCAATATTTTTATGACAGTTTGCTGTTGTGGACATACAGTAGAAACAGAAATCTATTGTCATCTGCTCCCTTTGCTCTGCCTTCTTGTGACTGTAATGATTTGTGTGTGAACATGTAGTCCATCTCCATGCTAATTGATGGTGTCTGCTATCTTTGCGAAGGACCAATCAGAGGTAATTGCACACTAATAACTTCCTGGATAGCCGGAGGCTGCAGCTGTGGCATCTTAAAAAAGGAGCAGTTCACCATTTATTTAAGCCAAGCTTCACTTGGCATGAATAAATCTCTTAGCACGATCCATGTTTCCTATAGGATGGTTGCAGAGGACTGGAACATATCCCAGCATGAGTGAGAGGCAGCGAGACACCATGAAACCTTTGCGGCAGACTTTGAAGGTGCAATGCTTTCACACATCAGTCTTCTGTTTTTACTGCAACAGATTTAAGCTCACACTGCTAACAAATAAAAAGGGCCGTTTCACCCAGTTCAACTCACCATCAACCAGTGACCCTCCCCGGTTGCTCCAAGGTCAGAATGTCCGTGTCAGTTGCCAACCTTTGTCTTTCTGCTCCTCCTTCACCATCCTCCCCCACAGCCAAGGTCACCTTTACCCACCTGGCAAGAAAGCAGACTGAAAGTTTGAACACAAACAGACTGCTTCTGGGAACTGGAAATAAAGAAAAGACTTTCTCTTTAAGCTTTGCACTGATGTTTCTAAGAAATGCAGCATAAACCCTTCATGAAAATCAGTAGCTCGGCACCCACAGCTTAGAGTGTCCATATGATGCGGTACTTCTGGACTGCTCTTGGAAAGGTATCTTAAAATAACTCCTCAGATAGGAGTTTAAAATAAATACATAAATAAAAATCAAATATTGGCAGCAAGTTTCTTCTTTTTTTTTTTGTTCTGCCTAACATGACTCTGACAATAGAAGATAAAAGACTTTCTTTGCCTCTTCTTCACTCACCTTCCTTTTTCAGTGGCATTTGAGCTGTTCTGGTCCGGCCTGGTCCGGCTCAGGTCGGTCACACCATCTGCCAGTCTGTCTGTCAACCGCTGGACTTTGTCCTGCTCTGGCTGTTTGGACTGTTCTGGAGTAGATAGTTTCTCAACAGCCTTGTCCACTGAACACAGAGATGTAGAATTTGGAAAATGAGCAAAAGAAGCACCAAAACAAGCCAAAGAGTTTCAGACTCTACAAAAAAGTAAAGAAAAGAAAAAAAATGACACTACTCTATGTTCTCCTCCAAAACTTACCTTTTACAGCCTTGATTTCCAAGGAAATGCACTTGTTCTTCTCAGAACTCTGACCGTTCTGTTCCTGGCTTGCTTTCTGCTTCTCTGCAACGCCTTGGAAACCTTCCATCCAGTCGAGAGTTTCGCCGTTCTTCAGTGCAGAGCGGTGGTCCTTGAACCAGCGTACAATGTCAGTGCGTCCAAGACTTGTTTGCACCTCCAGCTGACTGTACTCCTCAGGAGATGGCCACTGGGTCCGGCAAAACGTCTGTCATGGCAAGCAACAAAGATATACGTGGAATTCAAAAATTACAAAGCAAAAACAACATGTTTTATTGGGCCTCTGTGCTCTTGCTTCAAGTTAAACAATTAGCAACTAAATAACTTGTCATACAAATATTAACAATTGGCTTATGGATTATTAAAATCTGGAATGCAGTGTTATACATTAAATGACAGACAAATGACATGTAAAAATTTGTAAAGAGCACCAATAACCAACCAAAACTAACAACAAAAGCCAACTTAAAAATGCTCACCTGAAAGGAACACGTAAATATATTTTATGTACTTTATAACATTATCCAAAATAAAGCGTTCAAAATGACAATGTATTTGTTCGACCCTGGATAACACACGCAGTGCTGGCACACAGGAAATGATGTCAATATCAATCACAGTATGTCCTTTGGCGATTAGTCACATGACCTTTTCCAGCAGAAAAAGGCGGCAGCCTTGACAAGCAGCAGTGAAATCAGCGGGTTACATGTGCAAGGAGCTCTTTTGTAGACGCAGTATTACTTCTTACACTCCTCACCTCCTCTACAGGACATCACCACTTGGATGACAGTCAATCAGCTCAGTATCAGTGGCAATAAAAGTAAAGTTATTCTTATCAAAAGATCAAAAAGCCTCACTTTCCAGAATAAAACCTTTTGTAATCTCTAGTGGATGATTGTCACTCTAATCCCACATGAGTAACGTCTCGTGCTCAGCTTACTTCCACCTTTGTAACATTTCTAGACTTCGCCCTTTTCTTTCTTTCTCAACACAGCATACAAGCCTTGGTTCATAGTCCAGTCACCTCATTTGGATTATTCTAACTGCATTCTTTCTGAGGAGTTCTTTTCTGGGACACCAATTGGCTCCAGATGGTAGAGATCTCTGCAACAAGTCTACGGACCATATTACGTCCACCCAGCTCACTCGCTCGCTCCCCATTTCTTGGAACTTGTTACGATAGCACCTTCGTCAGCTTGACTCCTTGACAGAGTTCAAATATCAGCTGAAATCCCATTTGGTTCATTTACATATGATCCTGTTTTAGATGTTCTATGTTTAATATTTTTGTTATCCTGACCTTTCAATACTGTTCTTGTTGCTTTGTGTTGAAAGGTGCCCACAAATAAAATTTATTATCATTTATTTTTATTATTGCAACTGCCAGCATTTACAGCAGGCATGTGCAGTGTGTGTTAATGGTTATGCAACATGTTATTAGGTGTTTTCATGTGGAAGATTATATGTGAACAAAGTGCTAAAAATATACGCATGTTATGTGTGAAAATTTTTCTGTTCCAAATTTGCAGAGTACGTGAAACTCATCTATTATCTTGCTGTGTGTTACAGAGTCAATCATGTAGATTTTTTCTATATGATAACCGTCCACAATGTTTCACTTCTTTAACATCTCACCAACTAACTTAAAATACCTTTTCCTAAAATTAGGTTTACATTAGTTCATGTTTATACTCTGTTGCATATTCTAACACTCTGCTATGTAATCAGCACAAATGGAAATGTGTCTTTATCAACTCTTACCTCCCTGAGGAGGGCGAGGGAGCGGCTGCTGATGGGAGCTGGGCTCGTGGAGGCTGACAGGATGGGAGGATGTGGAGAAGAGGAGCAGGATGACGTGAGGATGGGAGGCGATGCAGATGAGGGTTGGGTCGGAGGCCGAGGGGAGGAAGCGGCAAGCACAGGGGGGGAGGAAGACGAGGAGGAGGAAAGGACAGGCGGATGCGGAGAGGAGCGGAGAGGCTTCCCGTCCTGCTCTCGATGAGAAGCCCCATTAAGCAGCGCACCCGGCCGCTCTATTCTGTCCTCCGTGTTCTTAGCAGCCATCGTGAGTAAAGTCTTCTCCATGTTGTCCCTCAGTGCCCTGCGCTCCGAAAACCAGCAGTCAACCTCTGTCTTGGACAGCCTGGTCTCCTGGGCCAGCTGATCTGCAGGAGAACAATAGGAGTTCAATAGCTCACACAGTTTTATTTATTTAAGTTCTTTTTTTTTTTTTTAAACTTGGAATTTGGTCTGTCTCTGGGGGTCTTAAAAAATGGCCTCATTAAAAATATTCCTGCTATTCCTGCCAATCAGGCACCCACCAGGGACGAGCCCGTAGCTCCTCTGGGGCGGAAGGGAATTAAGTCGCATGCTGTGAACTAGTAAAGACTGAAGAAAATATTACTTTTTTCTTAAAGAAATTTTAACATTTACATCTTAAATTTAGGACCATGATATAGAACATAACTAACTAGTTGGCTAATACCACTTCACTTTTTAACGAGTACATTAAAAGTTCTGTAATTCACAACATTTTTTGACTGACACAGAGCGCTCTGTGCATAATTAACTCCTGATCTCCAAGGCGACTGTCCTATGTCTCTGATCTGCACACATCAAAAAATGTGGAGTCAGATGGTTTAACCACCAAGAAATAAAAGAAAAATTACATTCATTACATGACATCAGTTTCTCAGCAAATTTAGAAAGTTTGCAGATAACTTCTTTGGCTGAAGCCTTCAGTGCTCAAATGTTTCTGTCTACTGCAAGATCTGTGATGTGCAGGGGCTGGCCTGGTGTCTTGCTGTGGTGGGAAGGTTGAAGGTCATTTCCTGGCACTGGCCAGAGCGGGTTCGGTGCTGGATGGGGGATGGATCCACCCCAAGGATGGCATCCAATGGGTTCTGCCAGGTTGGCTTTGGACTGGGTGACCTGCAGCTGGTAGACGTATGGAAAAGCATTTTTCTTTTCAGGCCCTATCTAAGAGCTGCGGCTCTCTACCTTGGGTGGTATGGGTTGTTGTGGGACGTGGATCTATAGGGGCCTCTTTTTCTTTCCCGTGGTCTGCCCCCCTCAGTCACGGTGGAGATCAGGTGGGTACCTTGTGGAGCTGGGTCATATTGTGCCACCGCGGTTATGTCCCAGCACCCTGGTTGTGCTGGCTGGTGTCCTTCCTTTACTGGGCTCTGTGTCTGTTCACTTTCCCTCGGCTCATTTTTCTCACTTTTCCTGGGTGGAAATGGGACATGTTATCTGGCCTTTGCTGCGCTCAACAGGGGCACCAAACCGTGGTGGAGAGCTTCCTGCATGTTTCTAGCTCACCACACCAACATGCCAATATCAACTATGGACTAATTTTCACTGTTGATTTTGACCACTTGGTCAGGTCCTCATCACCACTTTCAGTTGAAATATTTAAACTCTGGTGACCTTGATCTTCATAACATAAATCCCTACTCCACCCATTAATGTTTCTTCTTGTTTCTTCATCTCTGCTTGAAAGTTTTGTTCCTGGGTTTCACTGATTTGTCATGAAAGATGCTAGCTAACTAAAATGTAGGTTAATCTTTCAACAAAGCCTGGTGAAGCTCAAAAAGGCCTAATGAGGTATCAGAAGAACACAAGGTGACAGGACAGATGTCTCCACCTGTAGCTGGTGTTACATATAACATGACAGTTTTATATTCATGAGCAGGACACTTGCCAACACTTTCCTGAAGAAACGCGTTTGTATCATTTTGCTACATCCAGCTTTTCTGTGCAACCACTGGAGCTCATCATTACAAACTAGGGGTGTTGCAAGGCGGTGGGCTTTCTGGGCTTGGGCTTATTGTGATATACGTCACTGATGTTTGTGCAGTACTGCCCGGCAAAATTTAAACGACAAGGCTAATGTAAAACACTCCAACTTGACCCACAGCCTTGTTTTTTATTTTTTAAATACTTTTCCCTATCATGCACACAGCTATTCCCCCCTGTGAGAGAGACTTTGCTGCAGGCTTTACCTAGCTCTGACTCTGTTGGAGAGCTACTTTTCTGGAAACTCTCCTCCAGCGCCTTCAGCTGCTCCGACGACTTCCCCTTCACCCTCTCTAACAGTGGAAACTGGCTGGGGACCGCTTTCTTTACTGGGGCATCTTTAGGAAGTGGTGTTATCTCTGCTTTGACCAGCACAGGTGGAGGAGGAACACCTTCAAGTACGACAGAAAGAAATATTTACGGACCAAAACATGCTAGGATATTCTTCTAACACAACACATGTGAGTATTATTTCTGGATGATACAGCACAATGCCTAGAAACTATCCTTAAAGGCCAGCTTTAGAGTATAATTTTCTAATTATGGTGATGTAGCCATTGAAATCCACCTTTTAGTACTAAATGTACTTGTTGCACATAGAGAAAAATGTAGTTCTCTTGCCAAAAAGAGGCAGTTTGTAATGACTTGTCCGTTAGCAGATTAGTATCCAGTCTTCAAAGATATCATTTTCAAATTCTGTAGAATATTAGATAATAACAGAAACTCAAACTAATTTAATTTAGGTGAAAATCAGGTCACAGTCACACCAAATGCAAAAAATGAAATCAGACACTGCAAAATAAAGATATAATCTTGTAATTTTTTATTGCTTATAAAGATAATAAAATACACTATTTTAGTAGGCAATGCTTCAAGCTCATGACGGGTCATATGAATTAGGAAAAAGAATTAGTTTCCACTGGATCATCTCCAAACTTTAAAGCAATGTATTAGTCACTGGAGGACATAAGCACTCTGTTTGAGCTCTTTAAAACATCCCCCCTGTACAATATTCTGACTTCACAATGAATGAAAAAGATTAAAATACTACACTAAATTTAAATGTTGACATGAGCACAAATAATCTATGAAAACAATACAGAGGTCAATATTAGGGATTCCCAAAAAACAGACTGACGTCAGTATGTTGTAATAAAAACATCATAAAACACAAGTTTTAGTATAGCACTTGCCCTTCAGTGCTCTTGTTTTTCACATGTTTCCTTATTGCAGCACTAAATACGTCACATACCTTTGAGATTGAGGAGTCTTTGCTCACTGAACCACTTCTTTATCTCTCCTCTGGATAACCCGGTGGTCTCTATCAGCCTGTAAATCTACCACATGACAAGATACATCAAAGTAATAACTACAGTAATTTTCCCCTCAACTGTATGTTTGGAAATGGACATGTACACAGCAGGGATATGGGATATGGAAAGACCAAAGAGGACTACCTCTTCCCCACATCCATGAATCTTCCCAGAAAAGATTCATGGTTGTAGTGAAGGAGGACATGGAGGGTTGGTGTGACTGATCAGGATGCTATGGATAAGTCAGATAGATCCACTGTGGCAACAACTAAAAGGAGCAGCCAAAAGAAGAAGAAAAAAACAAAAAACAAAAGAACCACCTGGGTGTTTGGGGAAAAAACAACAACTAGAAAATACAAGCAGTGATACCTATCACGGTAGCACAAAAAACTTTTCTCACTCGCTTATTCTTACCTCATCTTCCTCAGGGAAAGGGCACTGTGTGTAGCTGGACCTCAGCACAGACAGCTGCTCTGATGTTTTATTGGGGTCAACGGTGAAACTCAGCACTTTAGATGATGCCAGCTTGGATGTGGCCATCGGGGCAGAGATGGTCTGAATGATGGAGGGCCGTTTACTCTCTGTAGCAACCGAAGGAGAGGCTAAAGGTCGTTTGAGCGACTGCGCCACCTGCAGTAATCATGAAAGAACATTTTCCATGCTCAAAGCTAAGGCAAGTTAAAACAGTTTGGTCAAAGGCAAACTTTACCCCTCCCCTGCTTCTGCTGCCTTAAAGACTGCCATTTTCCACCTAGAGTTTTGTACCTGGTTAGCCACTGTGAGTGCCAGTGGTGCACAAGTAACAGTAGAGCCATTGGCTACAGGAGTCAGCACAAGGCTGGTCTGTCCCAGGAGCTGACAGGGCAGGGACTGCAGGACAGAGGCTGCTGGCTGCATGGGTTTGGAGGGCGTGCTTGAGGTGGACTGGTTGGTAGATGATTGGGAGTTGAGCTGAGGAGTAACCACGGTGAAAGTCTGAGGCACGGAGGATATTGTACCATTGAACATTTTCTTCCTCGCTTCTTCCACCTGTCATTGAAAAACAGACATGTTATACATGTCCCGCAACCTGATTGGTACATTTAGTGACTGTAAATTAAATACAGTTATTATTTATATTACTATGTTTTGTTTTTATGTTTATTGTGAAAAACCGGGACAAAAATAAACACAATTCTCCTACCTCCTCAGGTGACCAGCTGATACCCTGTTTGAGCCGCTGTGTGGTGAACCAGACTTTGATCTGCTCTTCTGGATGTTTTGATGCTGCGGTGAGCCACGAGAGCTCAGCCTGTGTTGGGTAGGGGAACTTGTTGAAGGACGAGATCAGCGTCAGGTTGTCGTCCAATGTGGGGTTGTATTTGGTTGTGTTGAGGGGCACTGCAATCTTCGGCACCTAAAAAAAAGAAAGAAAGAAAAAAGTGCAATGCAACAATGAGATGCCCTCCTAAGAGTAAGCACTTGGTGACAGTGGGAAGGGAAAAAAAACTATTTTAACAGGAAGAAACCTGCAGAAAACTTAATTCGCCATGTAAGCTATTCTGCTTTTATAGACTGCAGATGAAGATAGTGTTTTTTTGCATGCAATGATAAACTGCACAAAATAAACACTTATCCAAATATCACAAAACTAACTGGGTTATTGAGTGCATGGTTGTAACAAAGCATTAACAGCAAAATCTTCCAACTTTTGTATGGTTCTAGCGATATCGCTCTAACTACTATCTACTAAATATGGAGCTAAGCCCAAGAATTAGAGTTAGCATAGTTAGCACAAATTCTTCAGGAGAAAAAGCTAGCCAGGCTACTAAGCTAACTAATAATTATGTTACATCTTGTATAATTTAAAACAATGACTTTATTTTTAAAAAAAATTGCTTCAAAATAAAGGTTTTAAATGTGAACAGAATGAAGTTAGTTGTTTCCACTCATGTCCAGGTAAGCTAAGCTAATTCCTGCTTACTGTTCCTCCACTTTTTCCTACCTGGGTATAGTTTAGAGGCCGCTGCAGGGAAGGCATGATGTGAGAAAGGCCGTCTGCTTTAAGGAGAGTCGACTCCGGGATGATGACCGTACCATTCACATTGACAGCTGTGATTGGTTTCTTGGTGAGATCCGCAGTTATTTTTCCCAACTGGGAGTCTGTCCGTTTGTTATCCGATGTCATTATTTTTGGTTTACCGATTTTGACTGTGGTGGGTTTGCTCAGTGGCACAGTGCCGAGTTCGTCCCCTTTGCCGGAAATGGCACCAGAAGTGTTGTAAATGACAGCGTTGTTGCTGCACCCCTCTATCGTCTGTTCTAAGATTGTCTGGTTGTTCATTTTTATGCGTTTAAATTTAAAGTTGCTCTCCCCTGGGTGGCACCTCTCGTTGTGTTCCGTCAGGGTGTCAAACTTTTTTGTGTTGAAGTTACAGACAGCACACAGGTACAGGGGGTTAAGGATGACATTTGGGTGGTTTGCGTCTACGTGTTCTTTGAAAGTATTCAAATTCTGGGTAGAAAAGGGGCAGTATTTGCACTCATATCCCCCCTGCTGTCTGCGCTGAGGCTTAGAAACGTCTGGTGGCTCAGCTGCTGGTTTGTCAGGAGCCAAAGGAGGGTCAGAGGCCTTTTCCATTACATCCAAGTCCATGGATTGCTCGGGTTGTGTTGAACTGCTATCCATAGGCACCCCTTGGGTATGGTTCTCTGTTGTTGTCTGGCAGGAGAAGGTACAACAGAATTACATTTTTAAATCTGGATATATCAATTTATCATCTGAATCATGCCCACTGAACTCCAAACAAATCTAATTCTTCCTCCCAACAATTATTCAAATATGGATTACTAAAAGTAATTCAACTAAGTACACCATTAAAAAATAAATAAATAAATAAAACAATACTGAAAACCCACATGCTGTTGGCAGACCCTACCTCCATGTTCTGAGAGTCCTCCACTTCTTCATCCAGCTCCACCATTGTCTGCTCTGGTCGGATCATACAGGGAGTGGAGGCCTTACGTCGACTGGACATGTTGGTGGATGGGTTTGTCCCGGTGCTCGTGTTTGGCCAGGGATGCTATAAAGGAGGCTATGGCTGAAGTTCCAGGATGCAGGACTTGTATGCAAAGACCTTCTTAAGGTGCTGAAGTGCAGTCAGGAGGACTGCCTACTAGAAGAATACAGATATAGATCCCGAGGTAGCAAGCACCGGACAACTTGTGAGACTGGGATCAGAATCCGAGGAACACTCACCCCCCCCAGAGTAAAATTATTGGCTGGAGAAAGGAGGAGGACAGTAGGCGGTGAAAGTCTGGCAGAGATGGGACTCCTGTAGTGTCATGTAGGCTGGGCTCACTGACAGTGTCAGCTCCAGTGCTGGCTGATCTCCTCGGACTGCATGATAGGACGCTACCTAGATGGCAGAAAGTAGAGAAAAAGCAGTGTATTTTTTATATATGTTTAAAAACATATATTTCCCCTTTTCTTTGCATGTACTCTACTTCCTAAAACACATCTATGACACTATGATAACTTTAAAGACAAGGAAATCAAAGCTGAGCTAGAATGACATATTTGTATGCAGACAGCAGCATGTTACAGTTATATCAGCAAGGCATGTGTGGCCTAATGTGTCTACATAAGACGCAGGAATATATGAATAACATGAGTCATACCAGCTTTTCACAGGAATGATTTTAAAGAATTACACCAATAAATAAAATGTGTTGGGCTCTAAAATAAAATAAAATAAATGTTTTTTCTATAATGTACAATATACGCAATGCACCACAAAGTAAGAACCATAAATATTCCCACAACATCAGTTCCCTTTAAACAGACACACAAAAAACCAACATGGGAAAGAAGAAACATGAATATTTTTGAGTTGGCACCAAACTGACCCATGTAGGGGTGCAGCACACCACTGTCCAAAGGAGGTAAAGCCAACTGCTGGGCAGTGAGCAAAAATGGCTCAGAGTAAAAAAGGTGGCTGATACATAAGCACAGCAGAAAGCTTACAGGTGGTCAGAGCAGTACAAAGCTGGCCCTCGAAAGACTGGGAAACAGAAAAAGTCCAACAGTGCTTTGGACTTTTCTGGCCAACTACCTTTTAGAAGCTAGGTGAAGTAAACTAGAGGAGCAAACAACACTATACACTGGAAGACTGATGCATAACTCTGTACTTCTTCATTTTAATTCATATACTGCCAAGTTCAACAACCGCTGGGAACTCAACATGCATGCTACATATTAAAAACAAACAAAAAAAAACTCAAACAAAGAATCAGATGATCACCTATGAGCAAACATGGCAATGGTGGAGAGAGAGAGGACGTCTATTTATCAGGAAGATACCATTCAGAGGGGTGCAGCTGCAACTGGTATGGGGGTTAAGGGATCAAGGGATATTTAAATCCCACATTAAGTCTTGATGAATGAAATATTCAAGTTGAAATCCTTTACTTATAATTTTTTGAGCAGCATAATCATTTTTTCTTCTTTCAACTGCTTCCTTTTAAAGTTGCCACAGAGGATGAAAATCTTATTATTTCTGATCTGCATATTTGATTTGGCAAATATTTTGTACCTGATGCAACCCTCTAATTTACCAGCAGTACACTGGCTCGTGACCTCCTGTGGGTGGGTTGTCTATACTGCAATTTGGATTAATTATTCACTGATCAGACACATCTTCCTGTGCGTGGCTAATGAAAAATGAATATTGGATCAAACAGCAATTCTCTGAAATGGCAACTGAATAAATACAAATATGTGACAAATTAAAAGAAAATCCGAGATACTATACATCAGCGGTCCCCAACCCCCGGGCCTCGGACCGGTACCGGTCCGTGAGAGTTGAGGCTCAGGTGTGAAATGTATGGTTTTCAGGGTTTTTTAATCGGTTTTCAGCGTTATTTTGTTATCGTTTTTATCGTTAACTCTGTTTTCCTGGGTCTTTTCACGTGTGTTATGAATAAATCTTCTTTTTTTTTGGTACCGGTACTAGTTTTATTTTGTTGCACTTAAAGGCCGGTCCGTGAAAATAATGTCGGGCGCAAAAAAGGTTGGAGACCGCTGTTATACATTACACCTGTGTTTTATTCCCTGCAACGGTCTCATTCGGTTCAAGGGCTCTCTGTCCATGGGGTTTGTAGCTCCCTGTGTTTAGTCTACAACAGAGCACAAACCTGGTCTTGTCAGGTGTTGTCCCAGCATCGATTCTGCCTCAAGACTCTGGACAGTTTGAGACCAGTGGACCCAAACAACGCCAGTATAATGCCATCCATAACAGCATGACTGGATCCCCTGACTAAAGGAGCTCACGAGTCCAGTTCTCCAATCTGTCACTCAAGCAACATTTATTTAAATCACACAAACCTGCTATTGTTACAGTCTGTCAGTTTCACTTGGCCTTCATAAGTGGCAGATATATTCAACTAGATGAGATGATTTTTATTTTAAGTTCCACAACAGTGCTCCAGTGTTGTCTATTTATGTAGAGTAAAACTTTTAATCATCACACTTTCATCACTGTGCCTCGGCAACACGGCCGGTATGCAAATATATGCAGCTGACAGGTCTGCTGCTGTAAGACAAGTTGTCCTGAGAAATATTGACTAATCATTCATAAATCAGATTGTGCTGCCAAGCGTGAACAGAGTGAGAAACCAGAGATAAAGCAGCTTCTGATCCAAATCTTTTAAAGCTGCGAGCTTCTTTATTTGAGTTTTAGTGGAAATGAGAACTTCATAAAGTAGCAGCAGTTACAAAAAGCTGAAGGACTGAGAGAATAGGAAACTTTTCTTGGGTAATATTGTACTGAGTGGGAAGAGAGAGGAAAAAGAAAAGCTTATCTGACTGAAAAAGTCTATTGATATTCTGGAGGCCTCACGCTGAAGCTTCATACTCATATCCACATGAGTAAAAATCAAATGAGTCGATGCAGCAGCGGTGCTCTTCTATCAACCCGCATAAGCACAGAGGACGAGAAAACCTCTTCCAAATATGAATCCCACGTATACAACACCATTTAAATATTTCATACTTCTATTTACCCAGAAGCATCACATGGCAATTTAATCTGGACAGAAGAACGATAAGTAGTATGATTGTACGATGCAGGGTAGAGCAAGAGCAACAATGTGACTTCAGGGTAATCCATCAGCTGCAAATATTAGGCCTGAACTTTGATCATGCGAGAGTCTCACATACTTTTCCTGGATCTCTCCATCAGCTACACATTAATCAAAAGGCGCGATTCCCCTTCAACACGCCATCATTCGCAAGTCCACTCATTGTCCCGAGATATCTCATCCCCTCAAACGACCCACTGAGGCATCATTAAAATGCAGACTCATTACCATGGTGTCGCTATAGCAACTGTGGAGCTGTAGTCAAGTGGCTGCTACATCCTGACGGAGGCTGTATATACACACACACACCACCCAACTGTGTTTGGTGCTTTTAGAGACAAAAACTAAAATAAATTTCAGGCTCAGTGTTTTGACAGTCTGGGAATTTGCAATCCTGCTGGATCCATACACTGGCACATTTCTTGTATTTTTCTGAGCCATTGTGGAAGGTCAAGGTACAGTCAGTGGGAAGGAAAAAAAAAAGAAAAAAGAAAACCCACTTTCCAGAATATTGACTTCAAGGCATGAGCAGCACTTTGAAGAGAGTTCTCAGTCTTTTCACCATCCAAAAGCAAAGTAAGCAAACTTACAGTATGGCAGACAGTCTTTACACTACTATGTAAATATGGAGCTATTGTATGCCATGTTATTTCTGGCCATTTAACAAAGAGAAATACTATGGCTGAGCTCATTTAACAAAACGGATATAAAAATACTGCAGTTCTGTTTTTGGCTCAGTTTAAAACCTCCTTGGGATGCTTTTTATGTGGGAAAAAAAAAACCATTTGAGCCCTCAAGAGCACCACTTACCATCAGTGTCTCTCACTGGCCTTGCCCAAAATCCAGCACTGTAGCACACATCTGGTAGGGCAGAATGGGAGATGCATCTGTCAGCTGCATCTGAAGAGCCACTTCATATGACCCACTGAACCAGTGCCGCCTCACCGGCCTTGAATGCATTTTTTGGATTTCTGCAGTTAGGTGATTGAGGCACAACAGGGCAGAGGGAGCACTGAGCTTAACCCACACAAGCAGGGTGGATGCAAGTTAAACGCTTTCCTTTACGCAACATCTGTATTTGTATGCTATAGCAATTTCTACGCGCCTCAACAATGACTCAGTGCTTTCAACTCGCTGCTCCAAGCTTCTCAAAAATGTTCTCCAAGTCACTGAATGACATCAGGAGGAGTTCGCCACGGGCGATCGTGGCTCAAGAGTTGGGAGTTCGCCTTGTAATCGGAAGGTTGCCGGTTCGAGCCCCGGCTTGGACAGTCTCGGTCGTTGTGTCCTTGGGCAAGACACTTCACCCGTTGCCTACTGGTGGTGGTCAGTGGGCCCGGTGGCGCCAGTGTCCGGCAGCCTCGCCTCTGTCAGTGCGCCCCAGGGTGGCTGTGGCTACAATGTAGCTTGCCGAGTGGGTGGATTACTGGATATGTAAAGTGCTTTGGGGTCCTTAGGGACTAGTAAAGTGCTATATAAATACAGGCCATTTACCATTTTACTTCATAAGTCAGTACTACTGAGTCACCGGTTTTATTAAAAAAACAAAAACAAAAAACACGCCGAGAACAAGTTTGACTCAGACACTGCTCAGAATCTGATAGAAGTCCATCATATTACACAACATAAACACAGACTGCACTGCAGTCTGATTTGTTGCAGTCAAGTTAAACATGTGCGTGGACTGTCTCAAACAAAGAGAAAAGCCTATGTAAATACTGGTGAACACTGAGGAAACACTGGCACAGACAGCCTCTTCCTCTCTCTACTCTGTCATTTTCAGCAGAGGAGGGAGGGGTTGCACTCCCGCTGGCTACTTGAGAGCCCCAAATCCAATGATGGAAAAGACAAGTACGATTAACAGCCACAGTGCTGAAAAACTGTCTAGGTTTATCTAAATACCTTAATAAACTTTTTAATGGATACTCTAAAGTCTCACGCATTAAAAAAAAAAAAAAGTATATGTATATATTATCAGGTGTCCTTGAAAAGAATATGAGGCCTTTCCAGAATGATTACTTGGCTCTAAACACCTCAGCTGCAGAGCTGAACGAAATGTGAACTAGTTGGCTGTCTGAGCTTTCGCCATGGCAACTTTCGCTTCATACCAAATACCAAAAATGTTAATCACTCCGTACTCAAACTTGGCTACGGCCACAACCCAGGTGAAACCTTCAGTCTCCCACCTGTTTGTTAGTGTGTCTAACCTCATCAGCCAGTCAGCGTCTGTGTGCAGAGTGAGCTCCGAGCTGGAGTCACAAACTCCCGACTGTCTGGA